CACGCCCTCAACTCCTGCGAGGCTTTCTCAGCCAAGACGGGGTTGGACGAGTCGCACATCCACCCGAGGCAATGGGCGCAAGGGCCTGCAGTGAGCCTAGCAGGACTAACCAGCATCCTCAACTTGTCAACTGCATCGAGCGCGGGTCCGACTGGCCCGTCTCCCTGTAGTGCACCGCGTCCTGGCTCCAGCCCAAGTGTGGGATGACTTCCAGAGTTGGTACGTGTGTGGGAAAATATGCGACGCCCAGAGATCCAGCGATGGCAAAGAAAACATCCCGGAGCATACGATTGGACAGCCAAAGGAAGATCTGCTCAGAAGGAGGCTGGGATGTAGAGTCTCACCGCAGAAGGAGCGCTGGCCAAAAGTGAAACTGTTCGCTACGTACTTCGACCTGCGCAAACGCTGGGAGGCAGTATGGCGCGTACTGGCATATAGAGGTGGCATACGCTGGGCAGTTCCCAAGGCGCTGCTCCGAGTAATTCTGTGAGTGGTTTCAATGATGAGAAGCACCACCCAATGGTTGTCATACTGATGGGGAATGCTGGAGTCAAAGCATTGTGGTAGGAGCCGGTTGCGGCCAGACTTGCGCGACGCTGATCCTCATCGGGAGCTTAAACGACCTGTGCATATGCAAACCGAGGACCGGCATGTGTCTCTATGTCGATGACCTGGCGGCGAGTACGAGGGGGCACATTGCCGAGGTGGCTGCGCTCCATGGTCACCTGACGTATGAGATTATCAATGCGTTCGAGCAGCAACTAGAGCTCCAGGTATCGCAGGGCAAGGGCGGCAAGACCGTAGCCGCGGCCCCGCATACCAGCATCGAGAAGCAGACGGATGGACAGAGCAAGCAGCTGGGTATCACAGTCGTACGCGAGGCCGTACACTGGGGTGTGACGCATGCGGCAGTGAAGAGGCGGCGGGTCGGTGCCCAGTCCAAGAGGATCCAGAAGTGCAAGGAGCGCCGCTGGAAAGTCCAGTGCGTGAGGGACGCTGGAGGGACAGCGGTCAAGGTTGTCAAGCTCGGGCTCGTGCCGTCGGAGCTCTACGGCGCGCGCGTGCAGGGCGCCCGCGACACGCTCGTGCAGTGACTGCGGCAGTCGGTAGCATTCCCCGGCTGCAGCAAGGGGAGGTCGGCCAGCCTCGTGCTGCTGGCGGAGGGCGCAGGCTCAGAAGTCGTCGCCAACTCGGGGCCCATCGTCGCGTGGGCCAGGGCCTGGCTGAAGGCGGCGGACATCGGCACGAGGGACATTCTGACAGCGGCCCGGCGCTCGTGGGTCATCCGACGCCATGGGCACGCAGGCCGTGGGGCCTTGTGAGAGGGCAGGAAGGCGCACTCATCGCCACGGTGCTGCGCCCGGGCTGCAGCACCGAATCTCCATCCGCAATCATTTGTGAGGATGAGGCGCACGGTTTGACAAAGATTGACGTTCACGGTCAGCACTCTCTTGTCCGTCGTGCCACACACGCCGAGCTACAGATGGCTTGGATCTCGAGAGATGGGGGCAGGAACTGCATGTGCAGCGCCAAATCATACTCGGTCCGATTCGCATGCTGCTCAGGCGGCCGCTTACAGACAAGTGGACTGCCGAGCATCCTCCGCGTGCCAGCACATTCTTTGCTGGAGACACGTGGCAACAAGACCGTATACACAGAGCTGGTCGTGCCACGACCGATCAACGTCAGGCATGCATGAGCGCTGCCGGCACGGATCTGCACCGCACGTACATCTGTAGCGCGCGTGACGGCCAGCACAGACGTGTAGGAGGTAGGCACGTGCAGCACAGGATGGGGGGGGGGCCAATCCGTTTCCAAGGTTCGAGCAACTCTGGGCAAGAGGTATAGTAGAGGGCCCAATCGAGTTCTTGGATGCTTTGCTGCCATTGTCGTACGACGTGTGCTGGGAGGGCGAGCATCCAGGAGTGATAACAGGAGAAGCTTTCACAGACGGGCCACTGCTGAATGAAGACTACGAGCCCCGAAGGCGTGCGGGGAGGAGTTTTGCCATCCTCGACTCATCGGGAGGTATGTTAGAGTGCGCTGCGATCGGTCCCCTGCCCCTCCCACAAGATCGGCAAATATCGGCAGGGGATATTCCCAGCAGAGCTCTATGCGATCATCCAGCATTTGAGGTGCGCGATGCAACCCCTCAAGACTAATTGTGACTGTCAAGCTGTAGTCCATGGGTTCGAGCGTGGCGAATGGTGACGCCCCTTGCCCGCGAGAGCCTAGTTAGCTTCATGGAGCGAGTTTGAGTTGATGGTCAACGACCTTGGCGGTTTAGGGCCCAGGACCGTCCAACTCGTCAAAATCAAGGCGCACGCCGCTCGGGCCAAGAGGCTTGAGATAAGCGAGCGGATTTCCCCGGGTAATCGGCACGCAGACGAACACGCCAAGAACGGAGCCCATATGAGCGAGCACCCTACCTGGCAGAGCCAAGCCTAGAAGCCAGAATATCACATGGTATGCGACGCAGTGGAGTGTGCCGTCGTACTGGCAGCCATGTCGCCAGATGTCGTCGATGCGATGACCGACGTTGAGCCGAGTAACATCACGAGTCGATCGCCGAGTACAGCCGCCGAGTCGATCCCGACTCCGCCAATGCCTCCTGCACTTCCTCCTCCGACTCCGAGCGAGCTGCCGGGACCTGAACCTGTTGAATTCGACGAGGACCGCCATGATCGCACTCGGAAGGCACAGATGCTGGGACGCCACCCCGTGTGTCTGCCCACTTTTGCATTCTGAAAGCATTATGCTTCCTGCGCGATGCGGTAGTGGACGAATCTGGTCAAGCCCCCTTGCAAGGTGGCCCAGGATAGAACGTTCACGGATAGGCTGTCGCGTTTGTGAGAGGGCCGCCACTCATCAACGGGGGCTCCCATGTGAGGACCACCTCAAAAAAGCAAGCAGGCCTTCGTAGTATCTTCCATCTACGGGAGCCATGGGCAACACTATCCAGAATAGCCCTCCTCCCCCTCATCATCATCCTCTTCGGGCTCCCGCTCCGCCTCCTCCTCCTCCTCCTCCTCCTCCTACGCCTCCTCATCATCATCGTCATCAGCAGCAGCAGCGAAATCATCCTCATCAGCAACAGCGTCAGCATCAGCATCATCAGCGCCACCACAATGTCAGCACATCACTGCCACTACAACCACCATCATCACCACATCATCATCATCATCATCACAACACCATCACCACCACCACCACCATCAGCATCAGCATCAGCATCAGCATCATCATCATCATCATCATCATCCTCGTACCCATCGACATCATCATCATCATCATCATCATCATCATCATCATCATCATCATCATCAGTATCATCATCATCATGACCAGCACCATTATCAGCATAAGCACCATCATGACCATCAACATCATCGTCGTCGCCATCATCATCATCATCATCATCATCATCAGTATCACAATCCTCATCAGCATTACCACCACCATCACCATCGAAATCAGCAACATCAGCTTCATCATGATCAGCATCATCATCATCATCACCAGCAGCAGCGGCATCGTCATCATCATCATCATCATCGTCATCATCAACCTCGCCATCATCATCAAAGTACCATCATGAGGATCATCAGCATCATCATCAGCGTCATCGTCATCATCATCGCGCAGTGCCTCCGGGAAGGACCGCAGTTCCGACGCTGTCCCCGCGCGTTTCTCGGGGCTGCCCACGGGGCGTGCGGGGCGTGGCTGCCTCGCTAAGCTTGGGCGCCTCCAACTGCCATGGGGCCGCGTGCGGAGGATCGCTCGCCGTCAGCCGAGCCGGGAGCATCGTCGTCATCTTCGTCACCATCATCAGCAGCAGCAGATGCATCATCATCATGATCAGCATCATCATCACCAGCAGCATCATCACAATCTCCGACAGCGTCACCATCGCCAGCATCAGCGGCAGCATCAGCGGCAGCAGCATCAGCAGCATCAGCATGACATGCTGGATACAGATAATCACGTTCATCATCATCATCAGCATGATCGTCCTCACCATCATCATCCGAATATTCATAGCACAGCGAGCGCGCGCGGATCTTTTCATCCGAGCGCAGGCGCGCCGCACCGCTGTGTGCGACGTCGCGCGCGGCACCGTGCTGCTGACGGCGCAGGCCAGCGGCCTTCGAGCCCTAGGCCCGGAGATGCCGCAAGCAGGCCTCGGCCCTCGAGCCCCCTCGGCTCGGCGACCCAGGCCAACGGCCCTCGAGCCCCTCGGCCCGGAGCGCGGGTCAGCAGCAGCCGCCAATCTTGGCCGGCCTCCGCCACTAGGGGCGGGTTCCCTGCAGCCGCCACGCGTGGCCGGCCTCCGCCGCTAGGGACGGGCTCCCTGCAGCCGCCACGCATGGCCGGCCTCCGCCACTAGGGGCGGGATGTTGTCAAAGGGCAGGCTGTCGGCGCCGTGCATGCTGTAGGAAAGGACCTGCATGTTGAGGGAGGTGAGGGCGGGACCCAAGATAGCTATGGAACGAACGATCCTGATGCTGCTCGCGTGCTACATGTCGAGGGCGATACTCTAGCACAGCGAGCGCGCGCGGATCTTTTCATCCGAGCGCTGGCGCGCCGCACCGCTGTGTGCGACGTCGCGCGCGGCACCGTGCTGCTGACAGCGCAGGCCAGCGGCCTTCGAGCCCTAGGCCCGGAGATGCCGCAAGCAGGCCTCGGCCCTCGAGCCCCCTCGGCTCGGCGACCCAGGCCAACGGCCCTCGAGCCCCTCGGCCCGGAGCGCGGGTCAGCAGCAGCCGCCAATCTTGGCCGGCCTCCGCCACTAGGGGCGGGCTCCCTGCAGCCGCCACGCGTGGCCGGCCTCCGCCGCTAGGGACGGGCCCCCTGCAGCCGCCACGCATGGCCGGCCTCCGCCACTAGGGGCGGGATGTTGTCAAAGGGCAGGCTGTCGGTGCCGTGCATGTTCACGCAACCCATGTCTGGCGAAGTCGTTCCCCAGAAAGCCAAAAACTCTGCCGAAGGCGTGACTGAATTTACTTGCCACCGTCCATGATGCGCTCAATGTGCCTGTGGAACAACTGATGCCCCAAGGCCAAAGCTGCCCGCTGCTGCTTGGTGACCGCGACGGCTTCTAGGGCAGCCACCCCCTCTGTGATATAAATCTTGGCTGTCGCTCTGGAGCGCCAGCGGCCTCGCTCGCAGGTCAGCGCCATGTTGCCGAGCGAAGAGAAATGGTGGGCGGCGCCGCCACGGCGGATGCTATAGGGCTTTATTCTGCTGGGGTCGAGGCCCGCCTTGCCAAGGTAGCTGGCGAAAGATGCGCGAAAATTGGCAAGACCCCTCGGTAGGAGGGCAGTGCCAGCTGCGCACCCTGCAAGCGCCCGGCGGAGCAGTAAGTAGGCGAACTCGTCATCGATGATGACGTCCTCAGGGCACCCCTGCCTTTTCCCGCCTTTAGTAAGCCCAAGGTTGACCACGCACGTGCACTGGCTGTGGTCGAAGACGCAGTCCCCCGCAGAGATGAGCATCTCGGAGGGGCGCAACAAGCCGTTGAAGCCCGCCAGGATTGCAGTGGCAACATCCTCGCGGCCGTCGGCGAGCGCAAAGCCCGCCAAGGCAATCGCCACCTCCGGTCGTAACGGCGGGGCGCGGCTGGGCATCTCATTCTGATCCCACGTGCGGAGCAGGCGCCAGCCCTCCTTGAGCTCGCGCCGAAGGCTCGGCACCAGATGCTGAAGCCCCGAGAGGGTGTCGGCGGCCAAACTGCGGGACGATCCGTCGTCCCACAGCGCCTCCAAATAGTCAGCAACCGCCTCGTCGACGGCATCCGCACTGAGCGGGCGTGCAATGTGTCGGGTAGACAAAATATCAGGTCGCTCCCGTCCGAGCCAGTCGAAAAAGGCATTGACCGCGTGCTTGTACCGCTTGAGGGTGCGCGGTTGGATCTGTAATTCTCGTAAAGTGCCCGCTGCTCGTCGTCTCTGCTGTCGCTGCTTGGCCGTGGCGGCCTCCAAATGCTTTACCATCGCGATGGCGCGTCGGCGGGGTTGTCCGCCGACCTCACATAGACCCAGTGCGGGTGGAGACTACCAGCGAGCAGCAACGAGACGATGCGGGCGAGAATCTTTTGGAGGCCCCGGGCAGAAGACCTCCCTTTGCACAGCACTCCGATGCACACTTGCGAGTCCAAGATGTGAGCGAAGCGCGAATTTATCTGCATGCTGCTCCGCAGGCGCCACCGGACGCTGCTGAGCACGGCGCGCAGCTCGAGCTCGTTGATATGCTCGGCGTCGCGCCAGCGCCAAGCCTGGCAGGTCATCCAATCCCACCTGGCCGCAGGGATGCCTCTGCGCGGCCAGCTGCTGGGGTCGCACAGGGAGGCCGTAGCAATCCTGACGTCCGATCCTTTGAAGATAGTGGAACGGACCATGGCCTCGAGCGAAAGCTGATGTGAACCAGCGCAGGCGATCTCCTCAATCGCTCTCCCGGCCAGGCGCTCGACGAAGGCGGAGCCCGCGGCTGAGAGTCCGCCACAGGCCACGTCGGGAGTCGGGGTGTCGGGCAAGAAGCCTCTCTGCCACCCCCACAGCCCAACCAGGTACGCAAGGGGGGCCACGGGCCCACACTGCGCTGCCACGGCGTGGCGAGCCTGGTCGAGGGCCTCCGACGTGCAGCCCGACTTGCGACTCCGGGCTTGGAGGAAGAAGTCGTGCGGAAAGCCCAGCCGCAGCGCGATGCACTGCATACACCCTCTCTGCGCGGCCCCGGCAGGGCACTCCTTTCCGAGCGGGCAGCTGCGTGCGCCGCTCCTGGCCCCTGTGCTCCGCAAGCCAGCGCCTGCCGCCGCCGGGGGGACGGCTGGGGTAGACTCGGACCAGCTCAGGAAGATGCGGTCCGGCTGGCGTGACATCCGAAGGTGACTGCCACCCTCCAGCGGCCAGCTCAACCAACAAAATTCGCAACCTGTGCTCTCGGACACCGTCGACACGTCCATAAAGAGCGGGATGGAGCGGAAGGCGCGCGTGACAGACTCCAGCTGCTCGCGCGAGGTCGAGGGCGCGGCGAGGCACACCGGCCAGACCCTCAACCCGGCCCCCTCGCGCTGCAAGACACGCTGCGCGGAGCAAATAAGGGGCAGGTCGGCATCGAGCTCCAACGCGGACCCGATGTGGCACATAAAGACGAGGTCGGTGGCGTGAGCGGCGCGGCCCAGCAAGCGGCGAGCAGCGATCGCATCGAATGCTCGCAGGTCGCCCAAAACCTCGGCCTCGGGCCAGCGGGCCCGCACCGTCCGGGCAGCGTCCGGCGTGACCGACAGCAGCCCGTGCAGCGAGAGCTCGAGCCCGACGCTGTCGAATGCCATGCGCCCACGCCCACAACCGCCGACCTCGAGGAGCACGAGGAGGTCGCGACCATGAGCGCAGCCGCCTGCCAGCTCACACAGAGCGGCGGTGCGACCCTCGGCGGTGTGCCTGGACGTGTACGTGACGCCGCCGCCGTTCTCGCTGGCGTCCGAGGCCGTCATGACGCGCGAGATGGGGCTGCGGAGGTCGTACTCGAAGCATGGGAGCAACGCGAGGGCCAGGAGAAGCTCCCGGCGGGCCCCCTCCGGCAGCGCGCGAGGACCTCCGCTCCAGTGGGATAGTACGTGCCAAACCTCCTGGAAACAGCTCATGCACTCCTTCCGGTAGGACGCGGCGTGCACCCAGTGGCCGATGACGATCTCCAAGTGCTTGCGCCGCACCGCGGGCGACGCGATGCAGTGGCACGACAGGCGGGTAAGTAACCCGACCCTCTTCGGCGTGAGCCGAAGGCGCCCGTCGGCTCCATCCAGCAACGCCCCAAGCCTGGACACTGAACTACAGTCAGTGCCGCTCTTGGCACTGAGCGGCACCGCCCATTCATCGTAACGTGCGCGGGCGGCCTCTGAAAAGCAGGCAGCCTGGGATAAGTGCTGGTGCCAACGCTCCTGCTTGCTGATCAGCTTGCCGTAGTCGGCGTCGTCGCAGTAGATCTGCCAGAGCTGGTCAAACTCGTCGTCGCCGGAGCGGGCCACTGGAAAGGGCCTGTCCTTCCGGATTTCGCGCCGCAAGGGTAGTCCGCGCGGGTGCACGCCTCCAGATATCAAAAGCCGGCGGTGCAAGTACTGGAAGAGGCCCATGGCGTTGCACCAGCCCATGGGGACCGTGGTCGCACCCAGCCAGATGGGCTCATCCCCCCAATCGCGGATGCCCAACTCGAGGGGGTCGAAAGCGACATCGAAGCAGAAGAGCGCTGCCCACTGGGGCGGCAATGAAAAGAGGTAAAATGCCCCTTTCATGTCGTCGTGGGCTCATACAAGCTCTTCTCCCACATCGATTATGATGTTGCGCCATTGTGCGTAAAATGGCAGCTTCGCGATGTCGAGGGGCAGCTCGCCCATGAGCTGGTTGGATGCGGTCAGGTTCATGATCAACCTGAGCTGCGGCTGCCCAGCCGAAGGCCCGCTGGGGACGAGGTCGTCCTTGAGCACGCCAAACAAACCGTTGACGACGGGCTCCCCGTGGATGTGCAGCAGGTCGCTGCGCCGCAGTGGCGCCACCAAGCCCCTCTCGAGAAGTCCGCGGCCGATGCGAACGATCTCGGTTGAAGAAGCCATGACCTTCCCAGGCTTCGGCCGCGCCGGAAAGCAGTCCAGCGGCACCAACATCTCGATCGGCTCCTCGAGGTAGCGCCTGACCCGCGGCTCACAAAAATCGACGGCCCGCAGCCTTCCGCAGCGGTCGGCGGGAGGGAGCGCCGGCTCGATCTGCTCCCAGGTCAACTCCACGGCCCTCTGGACGACGTCCCCGCCGTAGCTGACCTCCCTCTTGGCGAAAAGCTCAACGGGCGCCTCGGCGGCGACGCCCATTCCGGGCGTGGTCACGAAGCTATGGACCTTGCGCTCCAAGTGCCAGAAACACGCCACCTGAGCTACCGAAGGCCCGTTTACTGGCATCGCGCATGGCTGCTGGCCGAGGGCCCGCGAACCGTCCCAGAGCGCATTCAGCCCAAGCAACACTAAGAGCAACCTCTCGTCAAGACCGAGCGCGGGCCTCGGCAAGGCGCACCTGCCAGTCTTGTCACCCCCGGCGAGGAGGCGGGCGTACTCGGCGCGCTGACGGCACGGAGCCAAGCCCAGCGACGTGGCAAAAGGGAGCAGCTCGCGCGAGGACGACGGCGAGCAGGACTCCCCCCACGAAGATGGCGCGCCAGCGCGTGACTTGCAAGCAGATCCCTGCCGGGCGAACCCCAACAGCAGCTCGCCGAGCACGCCGACGCCGACGCCCCCAACCAGCCCCTCCGAGAGGCCGGTCTCTGCCCCCGAGCGGGGCAGGCTCAGAGAGGGCGGCGGGCAGGCCCCTCGCCTGGGCCCCGTCTGCCTTGACCCTTGCTGGATCCCTTGCCCTTGCCCCGGCGCTTCAGAAACCACATGCGGGCTGAGCGCGGATCCCGGGCTCGAGGGCGTGCACCTTTGCTTGGGGAATCCTTGCCCTTCTTGCCGCGGCCCTTGCCCGCGGCCTGGGCCGGCGAGCCACGGGCGCGAGGGCCGGTCTCTGGGCCCCTCTCGTCCGAGCCACTGCTGACTCCTCCGCCGCTGCCGGCGCGCGGAGGGCTCCTCGGGTAGACGCTCGCGGGTGCCGCGGGGTCGAAGAGGCCTCGGGTGACCTCCTCTGAGTGTCGCACCCTCGTGTTGGCGGAGCTCCGCCACGGCGCCATACTTTCCAGACCCGGCTCCAAAGGAGTGCCGGGAGGCTGATGGGCGACCGCCTGCTGGACCTTCCGAGGAGGCGAAACCTCCGCCGATGGGGATGGCCTCAGGGCGGGCTTTCGGTCCAGAAGCCCGCCCCCGCCGAGTCCCTAGCGTACGGCGCCCCGGGACTGAGCGCGGCCAGTCGAGATCCTGTTCTTGAGCTCCTCCCGCTTCATCTCCTGCTGCTCGGCACGGTACAGCTCCTCCCGCTCGTCCTCCTCCATGGCCGACACGAGCGTGTCGTACAGGGGATTGAGGTGCTGGGCAGCCGCCCAACCCTCCCTCTGAGCCATCTCCACGGCCTTGAACTGCTGCGCCAAGAGGTCGGTGCAGCCCACGAAATTGCCATCCAAAAGGCAGTCCAGGCAGGTGGCCAGAGTGCGGAGCTCGGCCTCGTTGCGCTTGTTCAGCTCCGAGCCGAGACGGGGGATGAGCTGCGTGGTGAGGTACCTCATGGCCACTGGCTCGGTGGCGGACCCGGGCCGGGACTCCCGCGGCAGGTAAGTCCGCATCTTCGCGAGCAGCCTCTCCGTGATGCGCCCGGGGCGCCGTTCCATGGTCGCACGGACCTGCTCGCGTTTGGAACGACGCCCCTCGGGAAAATCCCGGCTCCGAGAGCCCGATGAGCTCCGAGAAGGGCTCCGGTAACGAGAGCGGCGGCGATGGCGCGAGCCGCGCCGGCTGCGCGACCGGCCGCGCTCGCCACGCGCGGCGCGCTCCCGGGAGCGATGGGGAGAGTCGCGCCTGCCACTCGCCGCCTGGATGCCCTTTGCCGCGATGGCCTCCGCAAGGCCATGCCTTTTGGAGGCCCCGAGGCTCCTGTCGCGAGGGCCGCGGCTGGCGCCGGCCTCGCCTTTGCCCAAAACAGCGGCGCCCTCGACGCGGGGATGCTTCCGCGGAGGCTCCTCGCTGCCGCCGTAGCCCCGGGACCCCGCGCGCCTGCCCTGGCCAGCGGAAGCCAGCTCGCCGGGCGGGGGGAAAGCTGGCGGCGGCAGCGGCGGTCCCTGTACCCGCGCACGCAGGGCCACCAACTTGTCGCGCAAGTCGTCCTTACCGTTGGGCACGGCCTGCACGATGCTGACGCCCCCTCCAGCGCCCTTGGCTGCAGGCGGCGCCGTGGGGCCACCCGCTCCGGCAGCAGCAGCGCCGGCAGCTGAGTCCAGCGCTACCTCCAACTCGCTCTCGAGGATGAACCGCCACTTGCCGACGTGGAACAGCTGCTGGTCGTGCTCGCTCGCGGTGCACTCGTCGGCCCTGACGGTGCAAAAATGCAGCCATGGAGGCCGCGCGGCCGAAAACATCGGGTAGAGGTCGACCTCATCTGTGGGGTTGTCGCTCTCCAAGTACGTGGCCGAGTACATGGAGCCGTGCTTGAGGTCGTAGACCTCCTGGTGGTCGATGCGGAAGCGCGCGTGGCCGTTGATCGTGAAGATCTCGATGAGGTCACCTTCCGCGGGAAGGGCACTCCCAAGACCTCCCTCGTGGATCATGGCCCCACGGCCCGAACGATGCCCGCGATCGCCTCCTGAGGCGCCGTCCCTGCCTCGCGAAACTCGCGGCTCCTCGTCAGCAGGGTGGGCACGACGATCGGGCTGAGCGCCTCCGCCCGAGGCGTCCCTGCCTCGCGCTGCGAGCGGCGCGGCGCCAGCAGGGCGCGCCCTCACCGGGAGCGCTGGGGGCGGGGGTCCGGCAGCAGCAGGGCGCCGGAGCGAACCCCTCCGCGATGGCGCCATCCCCCGCGGGCTCCAAGAAGCTGCTGAGAGGCGCGGGAGCGCCCTCGACCCCGGTGCAAAATGATCCGCCGAACGCGAGCGCTGCAGGGCAGCGCGCGCGGAACGGCAGCACCGCTTTTTGACCCAAGATAGCTATGGAACGAACGATCCTGATGCTGCTCGCGTGCTACATGTCGAGGGCGATACTCTAGTCGGCATCATCATCACCAGCTTCATCGTCATCATCACCATCATCATCAACATTGGTTTCCTCCTCCCGCTTCTCCGCTTCCTCCTCCCCCTCATCCTCATCCATCTTCCGCCTCATCCTCCTCTTCGTCATTCTCCTAACCTGCCCGCTCCTCACTCCCGTCGTCCTGCTGCTCCTCGTCGTGCTCCTCCTCCTTCTCGCGGCCCGTGAAAGGGATGCGGCGTGGTGTAGAGGAAGCCGAGCTCGTACATGCTCGACGGTCGGACAAAGTACTTCCCGGGGTACTTTCTCCGCGTGAGCGTGGGCGGGCAGTCCCGTGATGTGAGGACGGCCCCCATCTGCACCGCAGCCGGAGAGCCTGGCTGGTCATACATTCATCATTCCTCCTCCTCCTTATCCTCCTCCTCCTCCTGACCCGTCTCCACCGACTTATCCTGGCATCTCCCACCACGAGTGCCAGCACGACCAGACGAAGGCAACGACAACCACAAAGACGACGACGAAAACGACGACGACGAACTATGACAGACGAGAGCGGCAACGACAACGACAACGGCAACGGCGACGGCGGCGGCGACGACGACGACGGGTCTTGAGAGCCGGGCTCAACTGGGCAGCTGCCCCTGGCAATGAGCGAGTAGCTGATCGCGACGCCGGGCTTGTCGTAGTTGCCCTCGTCGAGGATGTCTCGAGAGGAGGCAGGCCGAGCAATCGGGGGTCGAGGGGTCGAGGATCCTGAGAATCAACGGTGCTGGACGCGTCTCCCCCTATGTCGGTCCCTGGAGGCCTCCGGAACCTTCTTGCAGACCCCTTGGAGAGCTCTGCGGTGGTGCCCTCTGCGCAGTCCCCCGCCTGGGGGAAGCCGGGAGGAGGAGGGGGGGAGGAGGAAGAGAAGGAGGGGGAGGGGGGCGAGGAGGTGGGGGCGGGGGAGGGCGGGGAACAGGAGGAGGAGAAAGAGGCGAAGGAGGAGGGAGCGGGAGGGAGAGGAGGACGGGAGAGAGGGTAAGAAACAAGGGTGGAAGGGTGGAAGGAGAAGCGGGAGAAGGACGAGAAAGAGGAGAGGGAGGCAGGGAGGAAGACAAGGTGAAAGAGGAGAGACGCGAGGCGAGGGCGGAGAAGGAGGAGAAGCAGGAAGCGGGAAAACACGACGAGGAGTTTGAGGACGATGCGGATGCGGAGGGCGGGCGGGAATGAAGAGGGGCCCAGGGACACACAAGCAGATACACACAACCCCCAGAATTCCCGATCTTTTCACACACACTCTCTCGGTTTTCGTCTTCCCCCCCTTCCCATGTTTCGTCGCACTTTCAGGGGGGTCGACGATGAATTGTGTCTGTGTTGTTTCCCCTCCTGAGGGAGGGAGGGGGACCGATCTACTCTGTAAGAACGGTTTTTTGAAGGCAGATCTGCCTTCAAAAAACCGTTCTTTTTGAAGGCAGATCTGCCTTCAAAAAACCGTTCTTACAGAGGAGACCGCTGGCGGCGGAGACGGCGGTCGCTGCCGCTTCCGCCGGCGACGGCCGCGAGGCGCGGGCCCCTGGCTGATATTGGCCGCCCCTGGTCCCTGGCCCTCGCCCCCCCCTCCGCCCCCCCTGGCCTTGGTCGGCACGCCTCCTCCTCCTCCTCCTCCCTCCTCCTCCTCCTCCTCCTCCTCCTCCTCCTCCTCCCCCCTCCTCCTCCCCCTCCTCCTCCCTCCTCCTCCTCCTCCTCCTCCTCCTCCTCCTCCCTCCTCCCCCTCCTCCTCCTCCTCCTCCTCCTCCCCCTCCTCCTCCTCCTCCTCCTCCTCCTCCTCCTCCGCCTCCTCCTCCTCCTCCTCGGGAGCCCGCCCAGGCGGTGCTCCTACACCCCAAGAGGGGCGCCCGGGCCCACGCCACGGCACGACGAGGAGGAGATCGGGGAGGTCGGCTTTGAGAGGCACCTCTCCTGGGAGGCCTTCGTAAGAACGAGGAGAGAGCTCTTGAGCCTGGACTAAGCGGGACCCCAAGCCAGATTAAGCGGGATTTGGCGGGATAGCCATATTAAGCGTGACCCGCCCAGTTTAGGCAGCGCGTCGCGCACGGATGTGCCAACGACGAGTCTGAAGTTAGCCTTCCAGGAGTTGCATTCTAGCGGATTGGCTGCTCAGAGCGCGGCGGCGCCGTTGGGGGCGATTCGAGTCGAACCTGCGCGCTGTCTGGAGGGGCGAGGCCGTGGGCACGCCGACCTACAGGCGCGGCCGGGGTGCTCCTGGCGGCGCGTGCGGTTGCCCGGCGGGCACACTCGGGCGTCAGCTCGGCACTTCCGGGACGCACGCCTTCGTTTTGCCGGACGTCGGCGCGAACTCGGGAAGCAGCTGCAGTTCGCGCCTGCCTGGTGGGGGGCCCAGCCCCGCATCACTTCGAAGCAGGATGGATCACCAATTTGGACACCCGAAATGGGTACCGAAAGAATGGGCAACATGCCCAACAGCAAATGTTGTCCCGAACCAACAGCGGCCGCTGTTGGGCAGGCGGCCGTCTGTCTCAAATGAACACAGGCCGCGGCGGCGCGGACAGCGAGTCCTGTTCAAAATGAACAAGATCCGCTGTTGGGCATCGTACCCATTCTTTCCGTACCCATTTCGTTCGTCCAGAACCAAGGCACCCGACGACTCGGCACGATGCCCGGTGGAGCTGCAGGTGGTGGCGTGCCGTATTGGCATCGCCGTCATGCAGGCGCCGACTGGCGCTTGCGGAGCTGGCCACGGCGGCGGGAGGGCCCTCGGGAACGCGGCCCTGTCGCCGAGGGCCTCCTGGGGCCCTCCTCCCCGTTCACCTCGGCGGCCGAGGGTGCCGAAGTCCGGCGTTCGCTCCAAGGTCAGGACGCCGGTGGTCCGTCGGCTCTTCTCCCCGACTCTGCACCTTCCCTTCCGACAAGCAGGTGGCTGATTCAATATTCTGAAGAAACAAAGGCACAACATAAACATATAATACGTAACCCTTCGGAGTTCGGCAAAGATTTCTTGGATCTGCGTTGGACCCCTCTCGCGGGCGCGCGGACCGCGCCAGAGGCGTCGCCAGGGGGGGCCAGTGCAGATCCAAGAAAGCCGCGCGGAGCCCCGAGGGTTTGTCTTGATGCCGCGGCGTGCCCCTCGAGAAAAATCACCGAATCCGCCAGCTGCTGGTCGGCAGGTGTGGGAGGCGGAGGGTCACGGCGTTGACGTCACGTGACGTCCAGTCCGCTTCCTGCCTGGGCCCCTCCAGCCTGGAAGCGTGCCCAGGTTACACTACCTGTCCGCGCTGGGTCCAGCAGCTGGGGCAAGTCCACCCTGCTGCTTTTCATCTGCAATGGTTGAATGAACCAGGAATGATGGGGAGGAGGAGAAAAGGAGGAAGGATGATGGGGAGAGAGAAGGGAAGGGGACGGGGCGGAGCAGGAAGGAAAGAGGGGAAGCAGAAAGGGAGCTGGCAGGAGGGAAGAGGGGATCGGATAGGTGAAAAGACAGAGGGGGGTGGGACGGGAAGAGGGGTGTGGGAAGCAAACTGGGGCAGAGTAAAGAAGGCAGGAGAGGAGAGAAGGGAGGAGAGGACAGGATAGGACAGGAGGGGTGAGAAACGGAGATAGAGAGAGAGAGAGAGAGAGAGAGAGAATGAAAAAGAGAGAGGGAGAGAGAGAGAGAGAGCGAGAGCGAGAAGGAGAGAGGCATGGAGAAAAACTCATTTACACACATATATATAGAGAGAGAGAAAGAAAGAGAGAGGGAGAGCGAGAGACAAACAAGAGATGAAGAGAGAGGGAGGGAGAGAGAGAGAGAGAGACGCACAGAGAAAGAGAGAGAGAGAGAGAACAGACAAAAAAACGGACTGGAGAGGAGAGTGCCGATGACGACAAAAAGGAAGAGGAGGCGGGGGCGGTGGAGGAGGCGGGGCGGAAAACAGAGGAGGAGGCAGAGATGGAGCAGGTAGCATGTAGGAGGGAAGAGGTCGACAGCGACGACGACGACGAAGACGACGACGAACAGCGGAGACCTGTCCAGACCCCGAGGCTACAAGCGCTCCGTAGGCCGTCCTCACAAGGCGGGAGGCGCCGCTGACGAAACTGGGGCGGTGGGATGACCTCACCACCAGTGCGGTCTGTGGGGGGACCCCGACTGGAGAGAACTGGCGAAGTGTGGCAATCACTGCACGCGAGACACTGCAAGCGGCAGCTGACGCCCTCCGGAGTCGAGCACGTCGGGACGCTGAAGCGGTAGGCCACGTGGTGATCGCTGCTCGGGACGAAGTCGGAGCGGCGGCGCGTGACATGGCGGCGCGACATGGGGAAGAAAGGGTGCAGATCAGTTACGCCGTGGGAGTGGGCGTATTCAGTCTGACCATGCGAGCTCACAAAGACCGCTGGGGGGTCTGCACCTGTGGCTGCGCTCTGACCTCAAGGAACTCGGGCTCGGGCTGAAAGGAAGGAGGAAAGGGGAGGAGAGGGATGATGAGGATGACACAGACGAGGAAAAAAGGAAGACGAGGGAGGGGGAGAAGGGTGAAGGGCGACAAGGACGTAGCGCCTGGAATGCTCCTGTTGACGCTCGGCGACGTCAGAAACTCGTCCTGGTCCAAAGATATCAACCAGTCCGCAACCTGCCCGAACTTCATCAGCGCATGGTTCATGGACCCCCTCTGCCCCACGTTGTTGGAGTCGCCCTTGCAGCAGTAGGCCCACGGCACCCTCGTGACCAGGCCGCGGTTCTCGTAGGGTTCCAGGTGGACCTGCGTGGCACTGCCGCGCACCACGGCACTGGCTGCGCATGGTATTACCCTCACCCCCCCCGCCCCACCCACACTTCATACTCCACCTCTCCATCCCCCTCATCCCACTCTCCCTCCTCCTCCTCCTCCTCCTCCTCCTCCTCCTCCTCCTCCTCCTCCTCCTCCTCCTGCTCCTCCTCTTCCTGTTCCTCCTCCTCCTCCTCCTCCTCCTCGCCCCCCTCCTCCCCCTCCTCCCTCTCCTCCTCCTCCACTTCCTCCTCCCCCTCCTCCTCCTCCTCCTTCTCCTCCTGCTCCTCCTCCTCCTCCTCCTCATCCTGCTCCTCCTCCTCATCCTGCTCCTCCTCGAATCTGGGCGAAGTGAGACAACGACAGCTAAAACACTGTCCCCTGACTGTTCCCCAGGGTCCAAGTCGCACAAGTTTTCTGAGCTGCATCCAGCCGTGGTGGCCAAGGAGCCCCGAAGGCCAACTGCCTCCACCTCCTCCTCCTACTTCCCCTCCTTCTCCTCCTCTGCCTGCTCCTCCTCCTCCTTCCCCTCCTCCCCCTCCTCCCCCTCCCCCTCCTCCTCCTCCTCCTCCTCCTCCTGATCCTCCTCCTCTTGTTATCACTCGTAATACTAATATATGTATCATTATACTTAGCATCAGGATTAGTATTACTATTATTATTACTCGGATTAATATGATTCGTATTGTTATTAGTATTACTATTCTTATTACTATTACTACTACTAGTATCACTACTATTCCTCATCATCCTCCCCGTACTCTCCTCTCTCTCTCTCTCCCTCGTTCCATATTTCCTCCCTCCTGGTCCAGCTGGCCTTGTCCTTCTCGTCAGACCCGTTGTCGTACAGGAAGAAGTGCTCGACGCCTTTGGCGATGTGCCAGTCGAGCCACGTGGCGATTTGCGCGCCAGCGTTCCTGTACATGTTGGTGACGGCGAGCCGGAACCTCCTCGGGAGAAGGAGGGGGAAAAAAGGCAGTGAGAAAGGAAGGCGGGGCAACAGGACGGCGAAAGAGAGAGAGAGAGAGAGAGGAACGAATGTGAGGGTTGGCGGGAGGACCGCTTCGATGCGATTCGATTCGCTGGCTGAGGAGGAGGAGGAGGAGCAGGGGAAGGAGGAGGAGGAGGAGGGGGAGGAGGAGGGGGAGGAGGAGGAGCAAGAGGAGGGGGAGGAGGAGGAGGAGGAGGAGGAGGAGGAGGAGGAGGAGGAGGAGGAGGAGGAGGAGGAGGAGGAGAAGGAGCGAGAGGAAAGACTAGGTGAGGGGAGGCGGAAGGATGGAACGGGGGCCGGGGAACGGCCGGGGAAAAGAGGGGGCAGGGACAGGAGCGGAGAGGGGAGCGGGAGGCGGGGGAGGGGGGAGGGCAAGGGGCGGGTATGGGCAGGGGAGGAGAGGAAAGGCACGGTTGGCAGGAAGAGGGGGGGAGGGCAGGGGAGGGGAGAGGACGCGTGGAGGAGGATAGACTGGAGGAAGGTAGGGGAAGAAAAACAAATGTGAGGAAAAGGAAAGAGAAACAAAGGGGGTGGAATAAGGAAATGGCCCTTTTCATCATCGCCATCATCATCATGATCATCATGCCCACCATCATGATCACAACCATCACAATCATCAGCGCCAAAATCATCAGCAACATCGCCATCATCATCCCCATCATCATCATCATCATCATCATCATCATCATCATCATCATCATCATCATCATCATCATCATCATCATCATCATCGCCACCATCGTCGACATCAAGATCATAATCGTAATCGTCAGCAACATTCGCATCAAGATCATCACCATCGCCATTAGCACCATCATCGTCGTCGTCGCCGCCGCCGTCGTCGTCGTTGTCGCCGTCAATCTATGTGTATATATATATACATAGATACATAGATATAGCTGTATATATATAGAAAGAGAGAGAGAGAGAGAGAGAGAGACAGAGAGAGAGAGAGAGAGACAGGTCACGCGGAATAAGTAGGTGGAAACATGAAGTAGGGAGGTGGGAAAAGTAGATTGGGTTCGGGGCCGCCCCCCAAAACAAAAACGCCCACGATACTTACAAGACGTAGACTGCGACTTCTGGGCCATCTCTTAGCGGCGCACACCAGCCCAAGGTCGCTCGGCCCAATCGGCCGCCCCTTCCCTCGCTGGTTTTGATTGTTTTCGGTTGTCCGTCGGATATCCGTGGTCGCGCCTGGCCCTCGGCTGGCCCTCGGTCGCTCAGCCCCTCGGCTGCCTCTCCCCTGGCTGGGTTTGGTTGTTTTGGGTCGTCCATCGGTTGTCCGTCGATTGCTCTGGTCACGCCTGGCCCCTCGGCTGGCCCTCGGTCGCTCGGCCCATCGGCTGCCCCTTCCCTGGCTGATGTTGGTAATGTTTGGTTGTCCGTCGGTTGATCTGGTCGCGCCTGGCCCCTCGGCTGGCCCTCGGTCGCTCGGTATCTCGGCAGACGAGAGACCGAGCGACCAACGGCCAGCCGAGGGCCAGGCATGGCCACAGCAACCGACGGACAACGGAATACATAACCAGAACCAGCCAGGAAGGGGCAGCCAAGAAACAGAGCGACCGAGGGCCAGCCGAGGGCCAGGCGCGACCATGGCAGCCGACGGACAGCCGACGCACAACCAAAAAATAGCCAACACCAGTCAGGGAGGGGCAGACGAGACACCGAGCGACCGAGGGCCAGCCGAGGACCAGGCGCGACCGCAGCAACCGACGGCAACCGACGGACAACCGAAAAATAACAAACACCTGCCAGGAAGGGACAGACGAGAGACCGAACGACCGAGGGCCAGCCGAATGCCAGGCGCGACAACAGCAACCGACAGACAACCGACGCACAACCAAAACAAAACCCACAAGCAGCCAGGAATGGGCAGACGAGAAAGCGAGCGACCGAGGGCCAGCCGAGGGCCATGCGCGACCATGGCAGCCGACGGACAACAAAGACAAAACCAGAGCCAGCTAGGGAGCGTTAGGCGAAATACCGAGCGACCGAGGGCCAGCCGAGGGCCAGGTGCGGCCGCAGAAATCGACGGACAACCAACGGTCAACTGAAGAATGACAAAAACCAGCCAGGAAGGGGCAGACGAGAGACCGAGTGACCGAGGGCCAGCCGAGGGCCAGGCGCGATCATGGCAGCCGACGGACAACCGACGCACAACTAAAAAAAAACCAAAACCAACCAGGAAGGGGCAGACGAGAGACCGAGCGACCGAGCGCCAGCCGAGGGCCAGGCGCGAACGCAGCAACCGACGAACAAACCGACGGACAACCAAACAAAACCAAAGCCAACTAGGAAGCGTTAAGCGAAAGACCGAGCGACCGAGGGCCAGCCGAGGAACAGGCGCGACCACAGCAACCGACGGACAACCGACGCACAACCGAAACAAAAAAGGCCAGGAATGGGCAGACGAGACGCAGAGCGACCGAGGGCCAGCCGAGGGCCAGGCGCGACCGCGGCAGCCGACGGACAACCGACGGACAACAAAAAAAGCGTTAGGCCAGCTGAGGGCCAGCTGAGGGCCAGGAGCAACCACAGAAACCGACGGACAACCGACGGACAACCGAAACAGAACCAAAACCAGCCAGGATGGGGCAGACGAGAACTTTACTGAGCGACCGAGGGCCAGCCGAGGGCCAGGCGCGACAACAGCAACCGAAGAGCAACCGACGGACAACCGAAAAATAACCAGAAACCAGCAAGGAAGTGGCAGGCGAGAGACTGAGCGACCAAGGGCCAGCCGGGGGCCAGGCGCAACAACAGCAACCGACGGACAACCGACGGACAACCGAAAGATAACCAAAGCCAGCCAGGAAGGGGCAGACGAGAGACCGAGTGACGGAGGGCCAGCTGAGGGCCAGGCGCGACCACAGCAACCGACGGACAACCGACGGACATAGGAGGAACAAACAAAAAACAGTCAGGAAGGGGCAACCGAAAGACCGAGCGACCGAGCGCCGGCCGAGGGCCAGGCGCGACCGCAGCAACCGACGGACAACCGACGCACAACCAGGAAATAACCAAAGCCAGCCAGGAAGGGGCAGACGAGAGACCGAGTGACGGAGGGCCAGCTGAGGGCCAGGCGCGACCACAGCAACCGACGGACAACCGACGGACATAGGAGGAACAAACAAAAAACAGTCAGGAAGGGGCAACCGAAAGACCGAGCGACCGAGCGCCGGCCGAGGGCCAGGCGCGACCGCAGCAACCGACGGACAACCGGGAAGTAACCAAAACCAGCCAGGAAAGGGCAGACGAGACACCGAGCGACCGAGGGCCAGCCGAGGGCTGGGCGCGACCACGGCAACCGACGGACAACCGACGCACAATCAGGAAATAACTAGGACCGGCCGGGAAAGGGTAGACGAGAGACAGAGCGACCGAGGGCCAGCCGAAGGCCAGGCGCGACCACAGCAACCGACGGACAACCGACGGACAACCGAAAAATAACCACAACCAGCCAGGAAGCGGCAAGCGAAAAACCAAGCGACCGAGGGCAAGCCAAGGGCCGGGCGCGACCGCAGCAACCGACGGACTACCGAACAAAAAAAGCAGATCCATCGAGGAAGGAGCAGACGAGAGACCGATCGACCGAGGGCCAGCCAAGGTGCAGGCGCGAACACGGCAACTGACGGACAGGACAACCGACGGACAACCGAAAAATAACCAAAATCAGCCAGGGAGGGGCAGCCGAGCGTCCGAGGGCCAGCCGAGGGCCAGGCGCGACCGCGGCAACCGACGGACAACCGACGGACAACCGACAAGTAACCAAAACCAACACTGAACGGGCAGACGAGATACCGAGCGACCGAGGGCCAGCCGAGGGTCAAGCGCGACCACAGCAACCGACGGACAACCGAAGAAGAACCCACACCAGCCAGCAAGGGGCAGACGAGAAATCGAACGACCGGGGGCCAGGCGCGACCACGGCAATCGACGGACAACCGAAAAATACCCAAAGCCAGCCAAGAAAGGGCAGACCAGAGACCGAGCGACCGAGTGCCAGCCGAGGGGCAGGCGCGAACGCAGCAGCCGACGGACAAACGACGGACGACCGAAAAATAACCAAAACCAGAAAAGGAGGGGCCGACGAGAAACCCAGCGACAGGGGGCCAGCCGAGGGCCAGGCGCGACCACAGCAACCGACGGACAACCGACGGATAACCTATATATATATATATATATACACATAATTATCCCGGCAAAGCAACCTAACAGCGATGTGTAGGAGCATATCTGGAAGCATTCCCCTTAAGATTCAGATGAGAATCCAGTTGTAGAATTCTGCTGTTCTCGCAGTCGTAGTCGCATTCGCGATGACAGTCGCAGTGGCAACGGCAGTCGCAGTCACAGCCTCAGCCTTAGCCTGCCTCAGCCTCAGCCTCAGCCTGCCTCAGCCTCAGCCTGCCTCAGCCTCAGCCTCAGCCTCAGCCTCAGCCTGCCTTCAGCCTCAGCCTCAGTCTGCCTTCAGCCTCGCCTCGCCTCAGCCTCAGCCTCAGCCTGCCTCAGCCTGCCTCAGCCTCAGCCTCAGCCTGCCTCAGCATCAGCCTGCCTCAGCCTCAGCCTCAGCCTGCCTCAGCCTCAGCCTCAGCCTGCTTCAGCCTCAGCCTCAGTCTGCCTTCAGCCTCGGCCTCAGCCTCAGCCTGCCTCATCCTCAGCCTGCCTCAGCCTCACCATCAGCCTGCCTCAGCATTCAAAATGTGGCCCGGGAATGGAGTTCTGGGAACTCGAAGACCACGAAGTGGCCTACAGTTGGCTCCGGGCATTCAAAATGTGGCCCCGGAATGGAGTTCTGGGAACTCGAAGAGCACGAAGTGGCCTACAGTTGGCTCCGGGCATTCAAAATGTGGCCCGGGAATGGAGTTCTGGGAACTCGAAGAGCACGAAGTGGCCTACAGTTGGCTCCGGGCATCCAAAATGTGGCCCGGGAATGGAGTTCTGGGAAATAGAAGAGCACGAAGTGGCCTACAGTTGGCTCCGGGCATCCAAAATGTGGCCCGGGAATGGAGTTCTGGGATTCGAAGACCACGAAGTGTGTGACTGTTGCATCCGGCCCTCAAATGTGGCCCTGGAATGGAGTTCTGGGAACTCGAAGAGCACGAAGTGTGTGACTGTTGCATCCGGCCCTCCAGAATGTGGCCTGGGAATGGAGTTCTGGGAAGTCGAAGAGCACGAAGTGTGTGACTGTTGGTGAAAAACGAGCCCGGCACCCTGCCGCCCGGCAACTCCCAACACCTGCCCGGACCCCCCTGTGGAGTGATCTGCTGCTCTCTTTTGATCCCACTAGAAACCTATCAGTCTTCGCTGTTAGGTAAATTATCCCGGCAAAGCAACCTAACAGCGATGTGTAGAAGCATATCTGAAAGCATTCCCCTTAAGATTCAGATGAAAATCCAGTTGTCGAATTCTGCTGTTCTCGCAGTCGTAGTCGCATTCGCGATGACAGTCGCAGCGGCAACGGCAGTCGCAGTCACAGCCTCAGCCTCAGCCTGCCTCCTCCTCCTCCTCTTTCTCCTGCTCCTCTCCTCCTCCTCCTCCTCCTCCTCCTCCTCTTCCTCCTGCTCGTCCTCCTCGTCTTCTCGTCCTCCTCCTCCTGGTGCTCTCTCCTCCTCCTCGTCCTCCTCCTCCTCCTCCTCCTCCTCCTGGTGGTCCTCGTTCTCCTCCTCCTGGTGCTCTCTCCTCCTCCTCCTCCTCCTCCTCCTCCTCCTCCTCCTCCTCCTCCTCCTCCTCCTCCTGGTGGTCCTCGTTCTCCTCCTCCTGGTGCTCTCCCCCCCCTCCTCCTCCTCGTCCTCCTCCTCCTCCTCCTCCTCGTCCTCCTCCTCCTCTTCCTCCTCCTCCTCCTCCTCCTCCTCCTCCTGGTAGTCCTCCCCCTCCCCTCCTCCTCCTCCTCCTCCTCTTCCTGGTCGTCCTCGTTCTCGTCCTCCTCGTCTTGCTCGTCCTTCTCCTCCTGGTGTTCTCTCCTCCTCCTCCTCCTCCTCCTCCTCCTCCTCCTCCTGGTGGTCCTCGTTCTCCTCCTCCTGGTACTCTCCCCCCCCCTCCTCCTCCTCCTCCTCGTCCTCGTTCCTCCTCCTCCTCCTCCTCCTCCTCCTCCTCCTCCTCCTCCTCCTCCTCCTGGTACTCCTCCCCCTCCTCCCCTCCTCCTCCTCCTCCTCTTCCTGGTCGTCCTCCTCCTCCTGGTCGTCCTCCTCCTCCTGCTCGTCCTCCTCCTCCTCCTGCTCGTCCTTCTTCTCCTGCTCCTCCTGCTCCTCGTCCTGCTCCTGCTCGTCCTCGTCCTCCTGGTCTTGCTCGTCCTCCTCCTCGTCGTGCTCTTGCCCCTGCTGAAAATGTGGCCCAGGAATGGGAGTTCTGGGAAGTCGAAGAGCACGAAGTTGCCTACAGTTGGCTACGGGCATTCAAAATGTGGCCCGGGAATGGAGTTCTGGGAACTCGAAGAGCACGAAGTGGCCTACAGTTGGCTCCGGGCATTCAAGAATGTGGCCCGGGAATGGAGTTCTGGGAACTCGAAGAGCACGAAGTGTGTGACTGTTGCATCCGGGCATCCAAAATGTAGCCCGGGAATGGCGTTCTGGGATGTCGAAGAGCACGAAGTGTGTGACTGTTGCATCCGGTTATTCTAAATGTGGCCCGGGAATGGCGTTCTGGGATCTCGAAGAGCACGAAGTGTGTGACTGTTGCATCCGGGTATTCAGAATGTGGCCTGGGAATGGAGTTCTGGGAAGTCGAAGAGCACGAAGTGTGTGACTGTTGGTGAAAAACGAGCCCGGCACCCTGCCGCCCGGCAACTCCCCAACACCTGCCCGGACCCCCCTGTGGAGTGATCTGTGAGCTCTTTTGAGTCAACTAGAAACCTATCAGTCTTCGCTGTTAGGTAAAAACCAGCCAGGGAGGGAACAAGGGCCCACGCAGCACCGCGCCTGCCTCCTCCTCCTCCTCCTCCTCCTCCTCCTCCTCCTCCTCCTCCTCCTCCTCCTCCTCCTCCTCCTCCTCCTCCTCCTCCTCCTCCCCTTCCTCCCATCCTCCTCCTGCTCCGTCCGCTCTTACACGTCCATCATCGCCATTATTTGCTTCTTCCTCCTTCTCCTGCTCCTGCTCCTGCTCCTGCTCCTGCTCCTCCTCCTCCTGCTCCTCCTGCTCCTCCTGCTCCTGCTCCTCCTCCTCCTCCTCCTCCTCCTCCTCCTCCCTCCTCCTCAGCCTGCCTCCTCCATCGAGACACGCGTCCTCTGCCGCCCCAACGGCGCGCTCGCGGCCGAGCCGTCCATCAGGCCCCGCGCCACGATCGGCGTCGAGAAGGCGGAGCCGCTGTCCCGCCTGACCAGTGTCACCTCAGAGCCCAGATGGCTTTTAAGGCTGGTACTGGGATCACCTGCAAGCCTATGAGCGTCCAAGGGGCTTGCCGGTTCCAGCGAACACATGAAAGGCTCAGAAAAAACAACTAAGACGTGAAATGGTTTGAGCCAGAACCTGAGCGCGCAGCCACTGAAATTCGCCACGGCGTGACCAGCACCGTAGCGCAAACCAGAGGATCGCCATCCAACCAGGGACGCTAGGCGAGCCAGCTTTTGACAGGCAAACTCATACGAGAAAATGACGACATGAGTGTGGGAAGCCAAAGAGGAAGGGGAAGAAAAGGAAGAAAGAGGGGAGGAACGGATAACACACACATGCACTAGCACTAGGAGATGCGAGTCCAAAGCATCAGAACTCCAATGTCCAACAGTATGATGTTTTGAATCCGGGCGTGTTTCCTCGACTTCGACCTCCCAGGCCGGCTATCCTTCCCCATATCTGGGATGAAGGAGAGGGAGGGGGCGGAGCGAAGGACCGGATTGCGCCCTCCTCCTTCTGCTCGTCCTTCTCATCGTCAACTCCCTCAACCTTGGCTGTCCCCCTGGTCCTCCTCCGCCTCCTCCTGGTCGCTGCGAGTACACAGGCGGTGGAGCCGAGAGATTGAGGCGGGGTAGTAAGAGCGCGCTCTGCATGAATTGAACGATGGCTGCCACCCAACGAGAACGCTAGCTCGGTCGTATCTGCAGCATGTTCGTCACGCCTTAGCGCCAGGGATCGCCGTGAAACAGGTGCGCCTGAAAAGCACCCGCCCAAAGAAGAAGCTAGCAGCTAGGAACAATCAGCTCGCAGTGGTCTGCGACGGCGTGCAATCCCGCTTGGAAGCGCCGCCGTTACAGTAGCAGAAGAAACCTTGGTCTGTGTATGATAACCAGGTCTCGCATGATCAAGGCTTATCGGCGAAAGCAGGTTAAGATCTCAGGCAACATCTTCAGCAACCACTGCGCCAGCCAAGTGCACACAGCCTCGGGCAGGCTCTGGGGGGTTCGAATACGTGCCAGCTTAGATGACCAGCACAGCTGAACTATAACCGCCGTGTCATCATTACCGTCATCATCAACATCATCATAAGCAGCAGCATCATCATCATCATCATCATCATCACCATCACCGTCCTCATCACCACCCGCATCATCATCATCACCCTCACCACCCACAATCACCATCACCAACAACAACATCATCAACCTCATCATCATAATCAGAACCAACCTTATCATAATTATCAGCAGCATCACCATCATCATCATCATCATCATCATCATCATCATCATCATCATCATCATCATCATCATCATCATCATCATCATAATCATCACCATTGTCGTCGCCGTCATCATCGTCATCATCATCAGCATCTGCGTCGTCGTCATCGTCACCACCGCCACCACCATCACAATCACCAAGACTAATGTTGTTCCCATCGTACTCAAGGATCACATCCCACAACTGACTTCAAGCACCCAGATATGTACCGAAACAGTGTCTGCCAAACATGCTGCCGACGTGTCGAACGACAATCGCCTCCCAACAGTGCGCGACGCCTGACCCCCCCCCCAGTTTCGGTACGTTCTTGGTGCTCGAAATTATTTCTGGTGGTCGGGGCTAAAATTCGCTGGAACGTCGTAAATCAAGATTCTCAGGATTCTCCTCCTGCTCGTCGTGGTGCCGTCATCGCCGTCGTCACCGCCACCACCGTCACCACCATCGTCATGACCATCACCACCACCATCGTCTTCAGCATCCTGATCCTCCTCCGCCTCTTCCTGTCCAACATCCCCCTTATCCCCCGCGACTGCCGTCTCCTCTTCCTCCCCCTCCCCCACCTCCCCGCCTCCTCCTTCCTCCGTCCCCCGACCTTCAGCTCTCCGACCTCCTCCTCCTCCTTCTCCCCCTCTTCCGGCGACGAACAGAAGAGAGAGAGAGAGAGAGAGAGAGAGCGAGAGAGAACAAATGAGAAAGAGAGAGAGAGAGAGAGAAAGATGGAGAGCGACGGAGAAAGGGAGTGTCTCTGTTTCCGTCCAAGGAGGAGAGGGAGATTGAGAGAGAGAGAGAGAAAAAAAAAAAAAAAAAAAAAAAACATGAATAAATAAAGAAACAAAGACAACACAAAACAGGGAGATGCAGAGCAAAGTACCTCTGCCCTCGCGAAGCCCTCCGTCAGCAGCGCGGAGGGCACCTCGCAGGCCAGCGCGTGGTCCCTGCCGGCATACTGCTCGTTCTGAGAGCGCCCTGGGCAGGTCCTGCTCGTGCCCGGGTCGACTTCGTCGCTGTCGAGGAGCGGAAGGGCGGAAGTTAATAATAATAATGATGATGATGATAATGATGATGATGATGATGATGATGATGATGATGATGATGATAATGATAATGATAATGATGATAATGATGATGATGATGATGATGATGATGATGATGATGATGATGATGATGATGATAATGAGGATGATGATGATGATGATGATGATGATGATGATGATGATGATGGTGATGATGATGATGATGATGATGATGATGATGATGATGATGATGATGATGATGATAGGGAGGGACGGAGGCTCGCCGGCGCAGGCGGAGAGGCAGCGAGAAAAGGAGGGAGGGGAACTGAGCGAGCAGAACGGGCGCACAGAGCACCAGCGCGGCAGGCCGCCTGGGAAGGTCGTGGGGGGCCCTCTTGGGAGGATCGTGCAGGTTTCCTTGGGCCCTCGTTGGGCTGTCTGGGAGACGTGTTGGGCGCCTCTTCGGCGTGCCTGGAAGGACGGGAGCCTCGACAGGCAGAAGCGCTAAAAACCAGGCAACAAACCGAATGGGAGCTGTTATTCGCTGGATCTCAGGGCCCACCTCGGGGTCATCTTGGGTCTCTATTGGGGCATCTCGGGAGCCTCTTGGACAGTTTAAGGCCTGCGAGGGCCATCGGAAACGAAAAGGCGAAATCTTCAAACGCACTGTGGTCATGAAATTGTTGACGGACGTTGGTGTTTCATGCGTGCTCCTCCACGGCGCAACACCGTCTTATCTCTGAGGTCAGTGCGATTGCCGCCACACACGCGGACGACAAAACTGCAAAAGGCTCTCGTGCGAACGTGGCCGAAATTCCGCCGAAGAATCGCCGATCGCATTCACGCAAGAGTGACCCTGGGTAAGAGTGACCTTTGGTGCGTGGCTTCGTGGGGCCGCGGGGGGACCAAACACGAGCGCGCAAGATGCTACCACCGCATCGCGTATCGCGCTCAGCGGCCCCACTGGGCCCGCACCAAAGGTTACCCCGGCGAACGGTCACTCTTACGTGTGGTCGACCCTAGAAAGCAAGGCATCGCCTACAGGTGGCAAAGAGGATACGGAGGAGGATGAGAACGAGCAACAACAGGGTAGCCAGGCACTCGGCGGCCAGCCGTCATCGCGTCGAAACAAGATACGCGGATCGCGACTTGCGTATGCAGCTCCCTCTAGGCTCGATCGACGAGAGAATCATGGAACGTCCAATCACTCAAATCTACTTGTGCGTGCCAGCGCACTGCCTCCATCAGGGCTGGGCAACGCCAATCGTGCTCTCTCGAGACGCGAACTCCGCAGCGCAGCAAAAACACTGAGCTGGCATCGAAAGCGCTGTGCAAAACGCCCACCCGTAGAAGAAAACATACACACATGGTGAAAGCACCGCTGGCGGGACTCTGCCCTGGAATCGCGAAGGACTACGAATCACATACAGCACTCGTACCGATACGTATCGGCACTATGAGGTCGTTGTGTTTCATGTGACTCTTGGAGCCCTCGTGGGGGCCTCGTTGCACGCTATTGGCCGGCGGTGGACAAACCTCCCTTTAGCAAACCTCCCCTTAGTGAAAACGGCCTACGACCGAAACCGACGGACCTGGACCCGCAAACATGACGGCAACGACGCCCTCTCGCGAACCGAAAACGGCCAATTCCTTAATCGACGCGTCCGGGTAGGAGGTCTGTCCACCCCCGAATTGGAAGCGACGTGGGGGCCTCTCGGGAGCCTCGTCAGGCCTCTGGTGGCTCCGCTGGCTGTCTTAGGGCGCGCTTGGCCCCCTGACGCCCTCGCAAGCCCTTCGGAGGGGGACCGTGGAAGTTCTTTTTGGATCATCCTGGGAGGCTCTGGGCAGATCTGGGGGCCATCTTGAAGCCTTCGGGACACCTCGTGGGGCTCTCGTGGGCCATTGAGAGGGGATCCGCAAAAAGCCGAGAGGCCCATCGGAAGGAAAAAGCGGCATCTTCAAAACAAGCGGCTTGCTTTAGATGTTTAACAGGTTTTGGCCTCTTGGGACCTTCTTTGGGGCCGCTTGAAGCACGTTGAGCCTCTTGGGAGTCTCTTGAGGCCCTTTGGGGGCGTCTGCGAAGCCTCTCGGGGACTTCTAGGGCAGACTTGATGCCTTCTCGGACCATCTTAGCGGCCTCGAGGGCCGTTTTCAAGCCATCTGGGGCTGCCTCGGGGCTCCCAGTCGACCGTCTTGGGGTACTCTGGGGCTCCTGTGGAGCAATGTTGGACCCTCCTGGAACCTCAGAGACCCATCGGAATGGAAGCGGCGAGGTCGTCAGGAATCCATTGCATCCCCTAGGTTTCGAAAGGTTGTGGCTTCCTGTGGGGCCTCTAAGACCCCTCTTGAGGACTCTTGCGGGGCCTGTTGGGGCCGTCTGGGGCCATCTAGAGTTGTCTAGGGGGCCTCGAGGGCCCTCTTCAAACAATTTTCGGCTGTCTCGGGAACATCTTGACGAGTCCCAGGGGCCCTGGTTGACCGTCTTGGGGCCCCTTCGGGCTCCTCTGGGGCGCTCTTGGCCCGTCCGAAGCTTTGGGAAGCCGCCTGAGGGGAACTCTGGGAGGTCTCTGGGGCCGTCTTGGGAAACTCTGGAGCGCTCTTGGGCCGTCTTGTGGCCTTGTAGGGCTCCTCTTGGGGCACGCGTGGACGATTTGACGAGCAATCCAGAAGCAACAGAAACCCATCGGAAGCAAGAAGGCGAGATCTTCAAACACTCGTGGTTGTCCCGTGGTGTGTCACTGATGTAAGCCTCTGGGGGCACTCTTGGAAGCCTCTTGAATCCTTGAGTGAACCCAACGGAAGCCCAACAGAGCTTGCCCCTCGCGGCGCTTTCGCGGGCCCTGTTGGACCCGCCCGCGCGGTCCGTGTGGTCTCTTCTGGCCAGCTTGTGGCCATCGAGGAGCCTCTTGGCCACGTTGGCTCATCTTGGCGGCCTCTTGGCGCCCACTGGGACCGTCCTGGAGGCCTCTAGGGGCCTGGGAAAAATTCCAGAGCGCGGTCCTCGTGATCTCCTCTGGCCGCCTTGTGGCCATCTATGAGCCTCTCTGGCCACGTTGACATGTCTTGGCGACCTCTTCTTGGCGTCTTATCGGACCGTCCTGGAGGCCCCTGGGGGCAGGGGAAATAATTCGTTTGAGTGTTTTGACCCTCTGTGGGTCCCAGGGGCAAGGTTCGCATGCCGCCCCCGCACCTACTTCGGCACACTCCTCTCAAGTATCGTACACCAAACGGATCTTCATATACGGTCACAGAGACAAGGTTCGCACAGCATTCCCCCGCTCAAATCGACACACCCCATCACGCAAACTGTGCCCCAGAAGGAGCTCGAACTATGGCCAAATGGGCAACTTCGCAAGGCGTCCCCCGCCCATTTCAGCACATGCCTCACACAGACCGTGCCCCACAGGGAGCTCCCCCTGCGGCTTCGCGGGGGGCACTTCCTTCACACGGAGCATACCCCACAAGGAGTTCAGCGCACCTGTGCACGCTTGCTCCGGATTTTGATGACACTCCTGAGGCGGTTGCGTCAGGAACCGTAGGAGGCTGGACGACCATCCGACCTTGGGGCTGAAAAGCCGCTGTACTTAGAGCGCCCTAGATGCAGCGGAATGCCTTGGGACTCAAGAGGCCCTTGCCTGATGAAACGTACGCTTTCGGACGACCTCGGAAGCAGGAGAACACGCTGCACTGACAGTACCCCAAGTGCAATAAATCTTTCTCGGCCTCCAGAGCTCTGCCTGAGGATACATAGAAGGCCGAACTGAAGGATCTGGGCTTCCTGGGGGCTCGAGGGCGTCCAGGCCTCTTGGGAGCCTCTTGGGGGCCCCGTGGTGCCGTAATTATGGGGCCGTCTTGAATCGTCTTGGCCGTCCAGAGGCCATGTTGGGCCGTCCTGGCGGCCACGAGTGCCCTCTTGAAGCCATCTTCGGCCCTCTCTCGGGGGCGGCCAAGAGGGGGGCGTCAAAGAGGGGGGGGTGCGAATCATGGCTGGCGGCATGTGCGCGGCCAGAGGGGGACCCAGGAACGTAATGAAAGAAGAAGAAGAGGCGCCATGAAATCTGGAGAGGTAGCATGGCCCCCGCCATGATGTCCATCCCCCGCTAGTCATCACCCCCCTCTTGGCCGCCCCCGACTCTCGGGGCCATCTTGAAGGGTCTTGGGGGGCCCCTTTCAACCATCTTCGGGCTCCCTCGGGCTCCTCTGGAGCGCTCTTGGCCCGTCTGGCGCTTTCAGAAGCCGTCTGGGGGGCACTCTCTGGGAGAACTCAAGGGCCGTCCTGGGAAACTCTTGGGCGGTTTGGGGGCCGTCGCGTGGCCCTGTGGGGCTCCTCTTTGGGCCATTTGATGACCATCCAGAAGCCTCAGAAGCTCATCGGAAGCGAAAAAGCGAGATCTTGAAAAGCGCGTGGCTTCCTTGTCGTCGGTGTTTCACTGGTGTTGGCCTCTTGTGGCCCTCTTGGGAACCTCTTGGAGCCAGAATCCGTTTGAAAAACCAACAAAGTTTGCCTCTGGAGGCCCTTTCGCGGGTCCTGTTGGACTCGTTCGCGCGGTCATTGGGGTCTCTTCTGGCCAGCATGTCCCGGGGCCCGCGGACCCGGTCGCCATGTGTTATATATGCCCATACACATTCCCCAATTATCCCGGCAAAGCAACCTAACAGCGATGTGTAGGAGCATATCTGGAAGCATTCCCTTTAAGATTCAGATCAGAATCCGGATGTAGAATTCTGCTGTTCTCGCAGTCGTAGTCGCATTCGCGATGACAGTCGCAGTGGCCTGCATCAGCCTCAGCCTCAGCCTCAGCCTGCCTCAGCATCAGCCTCAGCCTCAGCCTCAGCCTCAGCCTGCCTCAGCCTCAGCCTCAGCCTGCTTCAGCCTCAGCCTCAGTCTGCCTTCAGCCTCGGCCTCAGCCTCAGCCTGCCTCAGCCTCAGCCTGCATCAGCCTCAGCCTCAGCCTCAGCCTGCC